GGCGGCGCGCCCCCGTCCCCGCGGGCACGCGCTGAGGGCAGGCGGGCCGGCGCCCGGCGCTCGGGCGTGTGCGAGGCGTGAGGTGGAGATGGGGGCGGAGGGAGCCGGAGCTGTCATAGGCCTCGCGTTCCCCTGAGCGAGCCAAGTGGGGTGTCATGGCCGCGGGGGGCAGCGGCTGCACTTCCTCTACTGGCAGCGGCGGCCGGGGAGTTAGTCCTCGACGCACGGGTCGGTGTGTGCGGATTTGTGTTCGGCGTGCGCGCGGCGGGGCGGAGGGGGTGGGACCACGGCGGGCCGGGCAGCCGCACGGGGGTCGCCCCGGCCGCCTCCCCATGGGTTGCGCCGCCTCCCGGGCCGGCGCGTTCCTCGGGCCGGAGGAGAGTGGACCGGGGCGGCCGGGAGGGGCCGGGCGGCCGGGCTGCGCCTCTCACACTGTGTGTTTTGTCTGTTTTTCTCTCCCAAGGTCCCGTTTCCCTCTGTGCGGCGGCCGGCGGGACCATAAGGGCTTAACTCATATATTTAACCCCCCTCCAAAAAGTAAGTGGCCCGTGTGGTGTCTCCGCTGCGCCCGCCGCCCCCTAGCCCCAGTCCGTCCCTGTGTGTGACTCTTCTGTCCTCAGCATTGTTATTTCCTCGTCTTTGCTTCGGTGCTGCTCCTGTGTGGGGAAATGCCCTCTCGTCGTCCTCTGTCCCCCCACGCCCAGTCCTCGGGGAGGCCCGGAATTCCAGTCCCTCACCCCGATGGGGCAGATTCTTGGGAACCTGGTCTTCCTCGACAGAACGTGGGAGATTCTATCTGTTCGCTTGGGCCCCCGATCCCCTCCTTCCCGACGGGGTTTCGTTGGAAGGAATTATGCAAATCCTGCTTTCTGGTGTCCATTCAGCGGCAATTTCATGCGGTGAGAAGTTCTCTTTGTTGTGCGAGGGGGAGAACAGACACTGATTTAATAGACATATCTGTTGGGGGGAAGGGTGGAGGGGGTGTGGAGCGGCTCAGTTTGGAAGAATTACAGCACTTGGTTAGCTCAGTCTTTGTGTTTGAGCCTTCTGGCTTGACAGGAGGGTCTGCCCTTTACAATGTCCCACAAGGGATGTTTTCTATAATAGATGAAAAAGCAAAACTGAAACTTTAAACAAGTGAAAAATAAGATAACCTTTACTTAGAGAATATAAGCCTTTCCATTTTCGCAGTGTTTGATTATGAAAATGTAAAACGTGAATTTTTAAGGATTTAGACTGTCACTTCACGTTAATATAGCCAACAATGCTCTATGGTACCTGATCCTACTTTTCGTTGTCCAAAGGTTTTTAAATGTCCAAAGTACATTTAAAAAAATTTATACTTGGGAAAATAAAGGCTTCGGTGGTAGTTTGGGGTATGATTTACCTTGTGAATACAGGTTAAAATTCCCCTCTTGCCAATCCTAGCCCAACTCTGCCCTTCAGGAAACAAACAGCCCTTTTGGCTCTCAGCTGACGTTTGCCCTGTTCTGTCTGATTTTTTTTTAAGCTGTCACTCGTTTGCCAAAATGTGACATTGGCTTAAGCACTTATGAATTGTTACTTGTCACTGTTATGTTAGAGAATACATGGCAGGTTTTGAGAAACATCAAATTAATGCATTTTCAGAATTCTTGGTTCTTGACAGAGCTTATTTTGAAGGACTTAGTTTTTGTAGTTTTAGTTTCACTTTTCTAAGCGATTGCTTTTGTTCAGCAGGGCTTTTTAGTTTTTAAAAAAGTGTGGAATTGAGGAATGCAACCCTGTAAATTTTGTAATACTGCTTTCTGTTCACATGATGTCAGTGAGTTATTTATACTTTTTGCTTTAAACTTGCATTCTGCTTCGAATCCCCTTTCTTATCAGTAATTACTAGCACTAGTGGTAATTGCTGTTTGACAAGATAGTTTTGTTTTGTTTTGTTTCATGACTAATAAAATCCTTCTGTAAATATCTCGAACATCAAAATTAGATTCATTTTTTTGTGAGGAGTGTTTTAAGCTGGTGCTCAGTTTTCTTACACTTGGCGACTCCAAATTTCCACTTTGCAGATAATGTTCAGGAGCTTTTAGAGAATGCAGAATGGTCTTCTAAACTAGTATGTATGTTGATAGTCTCTCAAGTAAAATTAGTTGGGCACCATATTTTCTTTTATTATATGTAATTTTGTTCTCTAAGAGGAGAGTTTTAAGTAGTGTTAATAGGTTTGTATTTTAAAGGACAGGCAGCAGTCTTTCTGTAGTCCAAAAGGAGCTGTGTTGTTTACTATTGCATGTAATAATTCTTTTTTATTTTAATAGGGTTGGTTCTGAACAGTTGATCCTCTATTTGATTCGCTTGACTGATTTTCTTAAATTTTAAGGTGGTGTGGTTTCTAAGCGATATTTAATTTATATCAGTCTTTGGATTAAAAATGAATTTTCAGTCATTTATAGAATCTGGTTTTCCTTTCTTTGGTATGGAGGAGGCGCAGTGTCAGTGGTGGTTGTGGAAGACAAGTTATTGATTCAGTAATAAGTTTAGTTGAATCAGAGTTAATTACAGATTATCTTTTATCCAAAATGCTTGAGAGCAGAAGTGTTTCAGATTTCAACATTTTTCAGATTTCATAATTTTTGGAGGGATTTTACTGAACATTTCCTAATCTGAAAGTCTGAAATCCCAAATCTCCCAGAATATAAACTTTTTTGAGCAGTTTGGATTAAAACCTAGAGTGGGTTCAGACAATGATTGTAGCAGGGATGGATATTTGGTTACTCAATGGCTGTCGAGGGGATACTCCTGAACTAGTATGTCCTATTGGGATGCCCAAGTGGATCAAGGCTCTCTGCTGTCTGATGGCATGCAGCTTTTGCCTGGCTGCCCCTTAACTGTGTTCTTAAGAAGCTCTTACTGTGAGAAAGGCTGTGATTTTTGGCTGCTTCTAATTTGGCTAGAAAAGAACAACAGGATGATGAGCCTTGACTTATAAAAAGATACTTCAAATTACTTTGATTCTGTCAAATGTGTTTATAGGCTTCAACAATTCTGGAGGTATTTGAACAGTGCCATTTTTAACCTTAATGAGATATGCAGGGTGGTCTTGAATTTTCTAGGTTGTGAGAAAGGGTTATTTCATGCCTATAGGCACGTGCCTCTTCTGAGTACCTGACTAATCCCTTAGCTACTTGAGTTTTAGTGCTGTTTCTAGGAATGAAAGGCAGTTAGGTAAGTGATTAGTTAGTTCACTTAAGTGTTTATTAAGCAAACTGCCTTCTACCAGACATTGTGGGCAAAAATTGAGATTGCTCTTTATTAGAACTTTTAGTGCTTATGGAAAATATACTCATGTAATGCGTTGTATAATGGTATGAGTGGTATAGGGGTATTTTTGTTTGTTTTTGAGAGCAGGGTCTCACTGTATAATCCTGGATGACCTAGAACTCACTAAATAGACCAAGCTGGTCTCCTGTCTCTGTCACTGCCAGGCTTGGTGTTGCACACCTTTAATTCCATCGCACCCCCACCCCACCTCCTGCCAGTTCTTAGGAGGCAAAGGCAACTAGTCAGATCTCTAAGTTTAAGGCCAGTCTGGCCTATATAGCAAGTTTCAGGCCAGCCAGGGCCACATAGATAAAAGGGACAGGGATAGTAAAAGGCTACTTGGGGTTTACAAAACATTGCTTTTCTTATCTCAGGAGAAGAGTTTTGGATTCCATGTGGAACTCTACAATGACAGATTATTTTGATGCCACCTTGACAGGGACAGTATTATCAGTTATCATCTGCAACAGTACTTTCTTTAAAGAAAGAAGAATCTCTTTTGGGGACTAATTATACCTTATACTGCCACATGAAACTAACTTTCAGAAGTACATGAAATTGGTGACACATTGTTCTCTGAATGCCCTTAATATTGGCAGTTATCCATATGTGTTGAATTAGGTATTTGGAAACAGTCAAGAAAAGTACTTGTGGCAGATAAAGGTGGGGATTTTTTTTTTTTAAACGGGGGTCTTGCTGTAGCCCTAGCTGGCATGGAACCCACTATGTCGACCAAATCTTGCCTGATTCTGCCTCCTTAGAACTGGGACCTTGAAAATATGTGCTATCACATCAGGCCTAAAGTTGTATTTTAAATAATGAGATTTGTTTTCCTTCCAGACTTGCATACTGGCTCTGGAACTCAGTACGGGTTTGATTTGTTTTACTGCCTCTGAAACTTTCAACTCTTAATTTATTTCTTTCTTTCTGTCTGCTGTATGGAATCAGAGTTTGTAATATCTGGCAAGTGCAATTTATTTTGGTTTGCTGATGCAAGATCTCACATGGCCAAGACTAACCTTGAATTTCTGATTGTCCTGCATCCATTTCCTAAATACTGGGATTATAGTTGTGCCCCACCACACCTGGCTTTTTATTTTTATTTTTAATATTATTTTCAAGTTAAAAACCAAACCATGCCCATCTCTTCTCTGAAACATTAATTTTTTTTTTTTTTTGACTCTTCCATGTGTCTGCATATTGCTTTGGGCACAATTCCATTATAAACCATTAGCTTGTTTTGTTGACCATCTCTTGTATGCAGAAAGGTATACTTGAATTTTAAAATTGATATATAATTCACATGCAATAAGATTCACTTATGTAATCCAGGCTGGTCTCAAACTCACTATGTAGCCCAAACTGCCCTTGAAGTCCTACTCTTTTCTGCCTCTATCATCTAATTACTAGTGTGTGCTACCATGCCTAGTAAACTTTGCCTTTTTGAAGTATACAATTGCCTGTTTTTTAGTTTATTAACAAAGTTGTGCGTATACCGCCTTTAATTAAACATTTCAAATATTTTTATTTATATTATTTTTAAACTTTCTGAGTGTATTACCAGCATGTATGTTAAGTGCACCCATGTTGTGCAGTGCTCATGGAGGTCAAAAGAGGATGTCCAAGCCCCTGGAACTGGAGTTATATTAGTCTCTGTGTGGGTGCTGGGATCTGAACTCAAGTCGTCTCCAAGAGCAGCCTGTGCTCTCTCTTTTTTTTTTTTTTTTTTTTTTAATGTTTTTGAGATTGAGTCTCTCTGTAACCCCAGCTGGCCTGGAACTCACTACATAAACCAGGCTGGTCTTGAACTCACAGAGATCCGCCTGCTTCTGCCTCCCGAGTGCTGGGATTAAAGGCGTGCCACCGTGCCCAGCTGCAGGCAGTGCTCTTAACTGGGAAGCCATCTCTCCAGATCCCAAAACATTTTTATTGCCAAAAACAAAATTATAATAAAACCCTTACTCTAATATGCAGTCATCCTTTTTCTTCTGTGACCCAGCTCCTGGCAGCCTATAATCTGCTTTCTGTTTCTGTGGGTTTGTGTTTCATACAGGTGAATCATTGTCTGTGGCCTTTTCTATCTGGCTTTTTTCCACATAATGTACTGTTTTTAAGCTTCAGCTAAGTTGTAAGTATCCACAATTGCATCCCTTTTGTGTGTGTGTGTGTGTTTGAGACAGGGTCTCTCTGTAGCCCTAGCTGGCCTGAAACTTATGTAGACCAGGCTGGCCTTG